GTATCTCCCCGCTCACCTATTTCAAGCAAAAATGAACAGATGAGCGGTAAAGCTTTAATTTAAACGGTATTTCCTGATGTTTGAAAGGAATTGCAACTTTGGAGGCAAAATTCAGTAATTGTTATCTTTCTAGAATAAAAGAGGAATAAGTTGAAGAAAGGAAAAACATGAAGTCTCTAGAATATCCGCCCTCCCTGCCATGGATGGATTTATCCATGGACAGTACATGTTGCATGAAATTAACACTATTAACCTTTTCACAGCCTCCCACATCAACAATATCATTCTGTAGGACTGTACAAAGACTCTTTAAGACTGAAGACCTCCTAAGACTCTTCAGAACTTACTTAATGTTGAGCATTTGATGGGTAATGAATACAAAGAGTGCTCAGATAAGAGAATGAACTCACCTATTTCACCATGTGACCCAGGAGTACCAAAATGGCCTGAAATTCCTGCAGTACCCTTTTCTCCCTATCATATGATTGAAAACAGGTATCAGTTAATGAAGAAGAGGATTTATTCAATCTACCAAGGAGCACAGTTTCGAAATATGAAAAAGGCTATTAAATTTACCATTTCTGAGTTTCCGTAATACTTTATAATTTATAGAGTCATTGGGCTGAAATCAGTTAAACCAAGGGACAAATTACGTTTGCAAAGACTTAAGTCTGAAATTGGGAACATCCTATTACACATATATAGTGTATTATACATTACACATACACACATAGTGAGTCCTGCAGTCCTTGGTTAGAAAAAGTCCTACTGAAATCTAAGGGCAAAGCTACCTGAGAAAGGAACATAGGTTTTGGCTCTCTTAAATAAATGATATCTGTGAGTCTACTGTCAGGCCTTTCTCAAGAGTTTATTTCTTTCAGTGTAACTTATTTTGCAGCCAAAGTGAATCATGGTGAATTACCCTCGAGGAGCTGAGATTCTTAGACTCTTTTACTGTTAGATGAGTGACAGTAATTTTTGGCAGTGGTACCATCAGTCTTGGGAGGAAGGGAAGAGTAAGCCCAGTGATGAGAATAATTTTTACCAACAGCTACAGGACCAAGGACCTAGAAGGAACTGTCTCGGTCCTCACTGGCAAAAAAGTCGTGCATGACAAGTTGGATGTCACCCAGTGAGAAAAGAAAGGACTCTGCTTAAGGAACATTGGAGGGATCAAGCAAAAATATTTGATCTATTTATTTGATTTTTATTGCATTTTTATATTTGCACTGTAGCTGTTCAGCACAATTTCAAGGGGTGAACGCCACTCCCTAGAGAAGATGAATGCCAGCACAAGAACACCCTTATCCCCTCACGTTCATGAACTCACCCTGACTCCTGTGCTGCCAGGGAAGCCTCTGATGCCAGGAGAGCCAGCTGGACCAGGATACCCTTTCAGACCTGTCAGCCCTTTTGCGCCGATGTCCCCTTTCACACCGGCCACGTAGCTGGGATGCCCAGGGGACCCTGGAGTTCCTGTCTTTCCGGGAACGCCCGGCATTCCCTTGCTACCTGCAGGTGCGGAAGAAGGAAAACAAAGAAGACTTAAACTATTAAAGCTGGGAAGGCTGACATGCAGTTGCTCGTGTGTGAGAAGTTTTCCTGCTAGCGACCTTTTCGAAACATGGCACCACGATGTGCTACTACAAAAAGGCAGCGCACACAGGTGACATAACCCCGCAAGGCTTTCCTTGGGGGTGGCTCTGTGAAACGCAGACGGGAGCTTGGCTTTTGCTGTCACAGACTTTGCTGGGGGGGGCTGCAGGGCTGCAGTGCAGTGGTACGATGAGTGGGGAATATTTAATATGGTAACTGAGAAAAGACACTGATAGATAGTCCTGAATGTGCTTGCTTTGTTTTGCTGTGACCACTAACCTTTTAAGCCAAAGAATCCCTTTGTGCCCCTTTCTCCAACATCTCCTTTTTCACCTTTAACTTCCATCATCATGCTGGGCTTGAGCTTTGGGGGTTCTCCTGGGGGGCCTTGATCTCCACGGTCACCTAAAAGGTAAAAACCCCAACCATGTTACAAAAAACTAGTCAGTGGCACTGTGTTGGAAAAAGCAAACATAAGACTGAATTTAGCAAAAAGGGATTAATAGATAATCTTGCACAAGCTATGGAAAATCCACTTGCATAAAAAATTACCTGTCTCAATACAACGTGCCAGCAAAACAGTCAAGCATAAGAAAACATGAAAACTGAGTTAAACTTTTGTACATACAATCCTGGGGAGCTGGACTCAGGCTCCTCTGTGATAATTTACCTCTCAGCAGATCAGTTAGGTATCATGTGTTTATAAAAAAACAAAAAGCACACTGGAGAAAGCAGAGAAAAGTAGGTTAGTTCCAGTGAAAGGGAAACGCTCAGTCAAAAAGCCTTGGGCAAAAGAAAGTGTTCGGATTTGTTACCAGTTATTTTGTTCCTTTTCTTGATTTGAAGATTACTGGTGACATCAATAAATAATATCATGAAGAAAGGACCCAAACAGACTGTATGACTGTCTTTAGTTCTTTGTGGGATGCAGAGACAGGCCAGCCACCCACATGTGTCTCCTATGATCATGCACTGTCTTACACTTCTTCACGGAGAAGTATATTTGCACTTTTCTTTGCAGGGGCTGTCTTCACACTTGCCTTTTGCTAAGACCTCCCCTGAATTACTGGGAGCACTGTTTTGCTACCTTTGAATTGCAGATGGGTTTTTCTTAAGTACCTGTCTCAGAGTCCTTAGAAAGAACATTTTGGCCTTGTGGTAAAGCGTGTATTTAAAGATAATTGTATGCAAAGAAAAGAGTACTGAGTTATAGTTTTCATTTCACTGATGATGGTATCAACCGACATGTTTCTGAATTTTAACTACTTAATTGCCTGGTTTTCTAAATATATCAGTGATTTTACAGTGCAACTGGAGCAAAATGTGAATCTTTTCCCCAAAACACCTTACGCTTCCTGGGAAAAGGCTCTGTTGAGTTCTGCATGTGCCCAGAGGTGCCACTATCTGAGCTCAGCTGAATAATGAGATGTCTGCCTCCAACCCTAAATGTGTGAAGATTCACAAAGAAGTAACCTTTCCCTGAGCCTAAAATCCAGGCCTCTCAGCCAGAGGCCCATGTGTGAAATAGGTGGAGGAATGTCTGAGCTAAATTTACCATGTGAAAAATGTGTCTTCTTTGTCTTTGTGTCCTTGTAAAATTGTTCTCCAGATGCGAAAAGCAAACACACTGGTACCACTCATAAGCAAATACCTTTAAAGCCGCGTGCGCCCTGTGAGCCTTTATCGCCCCGTGCCCCGAACAGACCAAATTCTCCTTTAATTCCCTTGATGCCTGGTCTTCCTTTTAGGCCTGTCATGCCTTTGAAACCATCAATGCCAGGTGAACCTCTTGAGCCTTTAAAGAAAGACGGGGAAGAGAACTGTTACCTCACCCAGATTTTTGCAAACTAAGTAAATGTGAACCAGCAATGCATGACTAAAACAGTATGAAAACTTCAGCGCAGCAGTACCTGTTTTTGGGTGCTTTCATGCCTAGGGCAATCTGCAGCTCTAGAAAAGGCACCCAAACTCTGTGAGAGGTAGAGAAGAGCAGGGCTAGACTGAACTGCCTCAACTGGCCAAGAGGAGATGTGGAGATGACCAGAACTCAGTGTCTTCTTCTGAAAGATCAGTTCAACCTCTCTCCTACAAATCATGGGTCTAGGACTGGGTGGCCCTTTCTCACCAACAACTCCCATACTCCTCTTTTCTAAACAAGAGAACGCTGTTTTACATGGGTCACGCTAACAAACAGATCTCCATTCCTTTCAAATGAGAACTGATCAGTACTTGAGAGTTGTTGTAGGAAAAAAGTGCTATCTTTCCAACTGATGAAATTGCAAATGAAATGCATTTTTAGGCATGCACCCCCACTTTGTGTTTAACTTGGCTTCACATGGAGTTGAATCCTGTTGAAACACCCTGTGTGATATAGGCAACTTGCATTATACATAGCATTTTCATGGCTGGCAAGTGAGAATCTCACCTTCTCTATCGGAAAGATGAGTATCATGGCAAAGTCAATATCGAGGTTTTGTGTCTGGCATTGCTCAGTACACAACTGCCAGCTTTAAAAAAACTTTAGAGCAAAGATCTGGGGAAACATCTCTTTCACTGACAGTGGGACTGGGACAAGGAAAAGACTTTTGGAGAGAGAAAAGAGTAAATACTGTACACTTTTTAAATGGAGAAATAAAACAGACATTGCCCTTCTAAATAGGGCTGCATGTCACAAATGAGCATTTTGCCAAGCACAATGCAGGGCAAAACACAGTGATTTTGGAATATATTAGGCATATGACCCTAATTCTTCTGTTTTAAACAGGTAGCCCAGCAGAGAACATGTCCTGTTCATCTCAGCACAGAACAGGCTTAAGCAACATTACTTTTTTTCAAAGCAGGTGTCTGGAGCTCACCTTTATCGCCCGGAAAGCCATCCATTCCACTTATGCCAGGGGGACCAGTCACGCCACGTATACCTTGTGATCCAGGATAACCTGTTTCACCTTTGTCACCAGACAGACCTTTCAAGCCCACGGGGCCAGGAAAACCTTGCTCACCATCTTCTCCCCTAGCACCAGGAGGACCTGCCGTGTGAACATGCGAACAGGGAGATTATAAAAAGTGTTTGGACATACATGATGATTTCATACAAGGTAGCTCAAGAGGGAGAAAATTGCTATCCTACCAGCTTCATTTTGAGGGGGGAAAATTAGGACTTTTTCAGCAAAAAACTGCAGAAATTATTAAAAGGACAAAGCGGCTCATCACTGCAAACCAGTCTCACTACCAGCTTGGTTCTGTAAAGGACCTTCCCCTCCTCTTTAAGAATTAAGCTCCTTTTCCACAAGACTACTCCCGTTTGGTAGCCCCCTTCTCCCAGTCTACCATCAGCAAGCTCTGATCTGGCTTGGGAGGTGGCTATAGAATGACAAGCAGCAGCCCTGTCAGTGAGGACCATCATCACCCCTACGTCCCACCTGTGATACCAGCACAATTCGCGGTCAGTGTCTGCACTATTACCGCCATTTCCCTGGTTGGGAATTAAAGCATGGCATGTGCCACAACCCCAAGCTTAACTTTCTGCTGTGGAAACCATATGGTTGCCCTGCCACAAAGAACCCGGCAGGAGGAGTGACGCAGGACAGCAATACTTCCTCACCAACAGGTCCTTGAGAGCCAAGCCTGCCATCTGGCCCCGGTTTTCCTGGTGGCCCTGGAAATCCACGCGTTCCTGGTGTTCCTGGCAATCCCATCAAACCAGGCAGACCTTGTGGCCCTGGATCTCCTTTGGGTCCTGGCAAACCTGGGTTACCATCCGCTCCTAAAATACCATAATCCTGCATTAGAGAGCATAAATATCTAGAAAGCTGATTATTACATATGTATTGGTGGGGTTTTGGTGGTGGGGGGGCTCCAGGGGTGGCTTCTGTGAGAAG